CTTATCGTTGTACCCGCAGGTTTCAGGCTGAATTGGAAGCATTCAGGCAAGATGTATGTTGCCTGCTGACTGCTCCTTCAGGCACCGTCATCGCCCTGGATGCCCCTGTGTGGCTGGCACATTCGGAAGGACAAGCTCAAGACTCTCTTCAGGCGCAAGAAGGATAGGGGAGAGCAGCGCCGCTGCTGACTGGCGACGAACTTCCGGGACACCGTCGACCGCGTCGTCGTCGTCGCCCGCCGCTGGGGCATTTCTCGCGCAGCACAACCATTGGACCACCGATTCCATATGTCCCAGGTCAGATGTCATGCATGCTCCACGGGCGATGATGCAAGGCCGAGAGGGTTTCTTTTTGGCACGCGTGACGCTGACGCTTTTGCGTGAGAGACAGACCCCCGCGGGGTATGTAGTATGGACTCGGGTTCCTTGCTCTGGTATGGCGATTGCCATGAAGAAAGAGCTCGCAGGATCTGCGCAGACTCACGGGATGGCAAAGCCGGCTTCGAAGACCAGACAGACAGGCTATAGGGATCGTGACTCTCTCAGAGGGCCATGGCTCCAACCAGGATAGACTGAGCTTTTTGTAGCATTCCTCCGTAACTTGTCGCTGCCGTCCGCAACGGATAAAAGGAAATTGGAGTGACGTGGAGGAGCGGCTGGCCCTCGAGGTGCGGGTGCAGCAGGGCGGCGGGATCGTCCATCCACCGCGACTGGGCGCTGAAAGAATGGGCAGACATTGTCACAAGCGGCGAGGATTGTGCAAGTCTGATGCCGTCCGCGTCGCCAACAACGATGCCCGTATTCCCTGAGATCGTAATCCCTGATATTGGCGTAGAGGTTCATGATGCCGCCGATGCCCAGGTCTATGCCCAGGTCGATGATGAGCGACGGGCGGAGGATGTTCCAGCTCCAGCTCCGGCTTCAGCTCTGGTCCCGCTGTCGAGCCAGCCTCGATGTCGTCCTCCTGGGCCTTCGTGTTCTCCCAGGAAATTAGGAGTACAAAGTACAAAGTACCATGTACCGACATTCCGGCAGTAGATGCAGTCTGCCTCGACGGGCCTGGCCCTTGATTCTCAGGTCTCGAATCGGATGTCTTCATGTCCGATAGAAGTTTTGGATGGAGCGGTCCGCATTCCAAGACGACTGACACGGCGATGGCGATACACGGTGAGCCTCGATCGACAAGAGCTCGTGAGTCGTTCCTCTCTTTGCATCATGATGATGTCTTGTCCGTCATAATTCGCAGTTAGTTCCATGGTGAATCTCAAAAAGGTTGGACCGTCCAGGTCGCTAGAGGACGACACGCTCCAAAGATTGAATGAAACCCTTCTGGTCGTCTTCTCATTGCTTTCCTGCCCAACAGTTCCAGTTGAGGACGATGCCCATGATGCAGCCTGTGGTCAACGTCGACATCCGTTGGTCCCAAAGCTGCACTCTTCTCGACCATGTCGTCTGAGGCATCCGCCCCATTGTCTCGACCCTCTGCTCGTGTATCGAGAGCATCCCTCCTAGCACGATATAGTGGACTTGTCTGCGGTGTAGATGTCTGATGATTGACGAGCGTGCAGAACTGTCCGAGACTCTGCCAGAGGTTGCTTGACATTCTCCATCACGCATGGACGTTTCCCAAAACTCGGCTGGGTATCGCCTACCATAGCATCACTGGCTCTGGGAATCGTCTGCCGTAGGAAGCGTCTGCTGCCGTCAACCCCTCCGTTTTGGACAGCCCCTTGAGGTTCTCAATCAGCCGCCCTGCCTCGGGCCTTTTGAGCCCCTTTTCGTATGGCTCGAAGCGCCAGCAGACGGACGGACGACAAGCAAAATCAGCAAGCAGGCGGTCGATTCTCCCTGACGCCTCTCGTCTCTCATCCCTTTTCGCTCAATCGTGCACGACACGGCGCCCCTCCTCGACGGGCGGAAGTCAGTCAGTCTCTTGGATACTATGATGCTGGCGCCATTTTCTTCGCCAGAACGACTCAACCATAAATCTTGGTAAGCATCACGCATTCCGGCTGTGGGTCGCGTGGGAAATGAACTGCTGAACCCAGCTCGTGGATGGCCATGGACACTTAAGTCATCCGAGCTTTATGGAAACCACGGTCTCAATCCATATAACACAGTCTTGACCCTGCGGAGGCGGTTCGGGTGGCGAAGGTGCCTTGTTAGCAAACTGAGGGGAAGTCCCTTGGACATTGGCTCCGATACTGGTGGGAGCATTCGCCAGCCTGCAGGTGTCAATGGACTCAGTCGTACGGATTCAAACCCTCGTCGGGTCGGCTGACGCTGTTCGGAATGCCAGGTCTTTTCGCAGGAAGATAGCAGATCCCCAGCGTGATTGGGCCCATGTGCCCCAGTTTGGACGACGTCGACCTTGTCATGAGAGTCGGCGCTGAGGCTCGACGCGACAGGATTGACCAGAGCATCCCCCATGTGATGAACGGGCGGACTGACTCGACAGGGATTTTCGTCCTTGGGATGAATGATATCGACGAGAGAGGACCACTCCCTACCTAGCGAGGCTGCGATCGTTCGCCTTGCTGTCGAGTCATCCAGGCTCGCTTGATATCGTAGTGAAGGTTCAATGAGGTCGAGGAGTGTGTTGGTCAGTGGCACGGAAGGGCTTGAGGCTGATATTCAGATCCCCAGAGGTCGTCGTAGTAAGACTGCTCTTTTACCAGCCACGATCGCCCAGTTCCGGGGGAAAGAAGGTTACCTAGATTCCCCCCAGAGTCAAGTAGTCTCTCCATCCATCGACGCGAGATTCATCTTTGTCTCATGCGTCACTGTTTTCCCGCGGATCCCAAGAGCCTTCCCTCCGGAAAAAGGCACGGAGCCTGCGACATCCCGGGCACAGCACACTGCATCGTCTCGATGATCTCAATCGCCGCCGCCATGAAAAGGGATTGAGTTTGGGGTATGTATGACAGGAAATGCCTGAACAGCCTCTCCCCGTCTCAGGCGGAAGAGTCATACAATCGCCCCTGAGCTCAATGCCAGCACCCGCAAAGAACGTGGGCTAGCAGCGCCACTTGATGGGATCACAGAAGTGTGGTTCGCCGACCTAGGCAAGACTCTGGTCAGGCGACAGAGGAAGCTCAGAAATGGTCCGTTGGAAAGCTGAACACAGGCTGTGGATGTGTGTGTGTGTGTGTGACCCAATTGCCGAAAAGGGGGCGAGCGTAGGGTTGGTTATCTCGTTGGGAGGCAAGACAAATAAATATCCGTTCCCTGGCCATGTGAGTGTGAATGTGATAGACATGCGAGTTGCTCAATCCAGAGTGTTAAGGAACCCGGAGATATCGCAAACTTGGTCAGTTTCCTGGTCAGCAGCAAGGCGAGGAACATTACCGGGCAGAGCGTTCTGTGCGACGGAGGTGAGATCAGCAAGCCGGCCAGCCAGCCATCGATCATTTCAGGTCTTCAGCCCACCCTGTCTTGTGTTCTTATCTCCAAAGAGGTTCCCTGGCTAATATTGGACGGAGCAGGGATTGCATTCTCCTGATCCAGGCCTGGATCCATGACACTCCGGAGACAGGGCGGGACGGAGGCAGCGGAGCTGAGATGGCGTGACGGACTTGCGGATCGTAAAAGAGATAGCATCGAAAATCCCAGAGATGCGATGCGGACGTAAAAATGAGTGTTGAGACAGGGATGCTGGTGACCGACACGAGGCAAGTCGAGGTGTCTGGAGCAGTGTATGTCGAGGTCGTCCTGTGACCACCACTGATGGACCATAAAAGAGGTGACGACGCGATCAGAGCACGGGCGGGAGGCGATCCCCATACCGCGCTCGTCAAGATAGACCCGCCGAGTACGATGGGTGTGTCCCGTGGGAATCGGCAGGTCCTCGCTGGCAGAGACGAGCCCGAGAGGTCGAGACAGACAGACAGACAGACAAGACAGGACAGAGACAAGATAGCATCGACAATTCATGATATCGATAGTTCTCCCCTTTTCTGTTCTCTGTCCTCCGTGCAGAGTGACATTGAGCAACGTTTCCATCTCCTCTCGTCCCCGATGGTCAAGTGGTGGCGGCCACCCACTGACAGGGCGAACTGAAATCGAAAGCGAATCTCGTAACGTTTGATCCTGTGCGCTCAACGGAAGAGATGCATCCGTTCGTCAATGCAATGGTCGGGCTGCACAGAGGTAGATGTCGTCCTTGTTCGAAGGAAAGCCATTCCGCCGCTCAATGAAGTTGGCGACAGACTGACGACTGACGAATGCCAGGAGCGCCTGCAGACTGCGCATATGGCCACCCGGAATGGATTTCCTTCAGTAGCCGGCGGCGAGCACGGTCGATGGCGTCTTGTGGCTGCTAGACATGGAAAATGACCGTCAATGCCCGGGGCTGAACAGTCTGAAGAGACAGTAATGGCCGGTTTGAGCAACGGGACAAAGACTCACGTTTTTAAAGGCATGCAGGCACATGCATTCTCTCTCCTATAGCCCCAGCGTCCGAAGGCCGTGGATCAGTTGAAGAACGGTCCGAAGAGCTTGCTTGGCCGAAATCCTATCGGATGGATCATTGGCATCGATGAAGCATCGGCGAACGTAGGTGACAAGGGTGGTCAGCGTCAAACCCAGAAGACTGCCAGCCACAGTTCAATCAAGCAGCCTACCGGCCAACTATAGTCTCGAGGTTCTTATGGTCTTCCTTAAACCGCCGATAACACCAAGTCCTCCAGCGTTGGTGACTGCGGCTGCCAATTCAGGGCCAGCTCCCACGTTCATACCAGCCAGCAGGGACTGGATGCTTGATCTTCAGGAGATCCGTGGCAGTGGTTCGGATTTGCTGAAGGGAACGCCAGTTTGATGTAGGTGTGCGCAAAGAGATGAGGAGGAATGGAGTTGATTCAGGGACGTTGTTTTGGAAAAAGGAGTGACAGGAGGAATGAGGACAGACGATTTGACGGTGCTGCCGAGACTCAGACCACAGATTTATATCGGCCCACAGCGAGGAAATCCAGGCGTCTAGAAAGTGGTGGTCTCGTTCTGGATCACAAGCGATTCCAGACTGTGAGAATCGGTGCCCATGGACGTACACTGTCACTGGCAGCTGACGCTGTTACCGCCAAAGCACCCTGGCCAACTCCATCGAATCCTGCATTCTCTGCTGCGATTTCGCCCTTTTGCTTCTTGTTCCGCTCCTGGCGAATGTGGTCGTTCTCGTCACTTCTTTGTTCCATGGATCCCCGGAGAGGCCGCTTGACGAGAAAGTCGAGAGTCTCCGTCGGGTATGAGGCCACCCAATCCTCATGAGCTTTTTCTCTCCCAGTTTCCCCCAGGGCGGTGGACGAGGCAACAATCTCGACCGCAACTCTCGAGTAAGTGTTTGATATAAAGCGTTCCCCTCCCCCGCCGGAAAGCTGTTTTCCAACTATCCATATGTAGCTGAGTTTCTCAAGGTCGCAGAATGGGGAGAAGGGAGAACTTGTTCGTGACTGTTTCCGAGAGCTCAAGTTCGTGCCGTCGTTGTTGTCGGGAACTGCGCCGAAAGTGGTGGACTGGTTGTATCGGCGCGCAGCAACGCCGTCTGCGGTGTCGAGAATGTCGCATATCGGCGTCGTCAACTTCTTACACCAGTAGTCCTGCGCTGAGCGTGATCGCATGGTTATTTTCACTCCATGGTACTGCGTTTCCCGAGAGCACGAGAATGGGATGTCGACAAATTCCGTACAAACCGCACCAAGAGCCCACCCTGACCTGCCCAAATCCACGTACGAGCCTTGAATACCAGGAAGGCCGGCAGTGAAGCATCGGCGACGAGGTCCTCCGCAGCGGCCTGGCAACCGAGAATCATCTCAGCCTCCTCACCCATCGGCACGGTGGTGGGACGCCGTGGGTGGATGGAGCGCACTCCAAGCTCTCTCTTCTTCAGGTCTTCCTTGACAGCTGTTGATCGCGAGACAGATTGTGTTCCAGACTGCGCCTCTAGAACGTCTCAGGAAACGTCCCAGCATTATCGGGAAACCTGATGTGTGCCAGGAGGCCAATTGGCGTGTCAAGACTCAGCAAAGGCCTTCCTGGGCACTCACAATTTGTAAATAAACAATCAGGCATCGCCTGAAGAGAGGCACACGCAGACAGACCTAATTCATGATTCTGCTCAGACACTGTCAATTCAACAACAGCATTTGGCACCCGACGAGCTCTCGACGCCCTCAAGGCCGGCACATCCAGCGAGCCCTTATGCAAAATAAAGAGCAGAGCAGTCAGTGGTCGGCTGACGCCTGATATGTGCAAGGTTGACCTGACCTCTCCAGACGGCTGATCTCGGCGCAGACGCGGTCGACTTTTCGTTTCGATTTGGCCGCGAACGAAGAGTGGGAGGGTTTAAACCCGCTGTATCTGAAGTGTCTATCCCGGGATATTGTTTCTTCTTTTCATTCCTCTCGAGATCGAATTTTATGAGTGGATTGCCTTGTATTGGAAGAGCACATGATGGGATCGAAAGAGCATGTCTGTGTTGGCTGGAATACTCCCGACTCTCCCAAGTGCCAGCTGGGGACGACGCTGGAAAGGGAGTCGCCGCCTCCGCATTCACTGTGGAAGAGGAGTCGGAACCAGAGGTGAGATGGATGAAAGTCGCCCACTTTTGCCCAATAAGTACCACAACAACTCGAGTTACAGCGATGCATTCACTGGTCCTTATATCGTTCTCCTTCTTGCGACAACAAGACTATCGGTTGCGACGGAGTCTTCGTACGCGCGATAGGTTGGAATGAATGAACGGCGGGTGGGATCTTAATGCAGATATTGGCCCAAAGTCTAGGAGCGAGACAGAGTCAGGCGTTGAATGCGTCACTGCGGAAGCTCCAGACCGACTTTTGTCGACCCGTTGTCCAACGTCAAGCGCGACATGTGATGAAGCGCGAAACCAGGAAGACGGTGAACGAGTGGCGAGCTGCAGGCTCAGGCCGACGAGCAGCACGTTGGTGCCCACATGTGGTCTTGAGGTCGACCTTCCCAGTTGCCGGAGCTGGCGATGCCGGAGCCGGAGCACAGGGTGAGGAAGCTGACCATGTCCGAGGTGATGAAGATGCCGCAACCTTGGATCAGCCCAGGGGATAACGTCGACATCAAGGTTCTCTTGTACCGAAAGCCAGGTACAATCACCGCACACCGTCCGCGTCATCCAGGGCCACGAGGGATAGAAAAGCAAAAGCCCGCGCGGCACAAAGGGCTTCCTTGTCACACAATCAAGAGCTGATAGACCGCTGGCACGGGAAAACCCCGTGCTTGGAACTTCGCCGTCAGCGTCGTGGAGAACTGAACTGCAACCACCTTCACAACTTCCTGGTTCCCGAGGAGTAAATGAAGGGGGGATTGAGAGGATGCGCTGGGGCATAGTACTTCGGGATGGACCAGAGGACGACGAGCAGCACAGAGCCGGGAGTGACGGTGGTCGATTTCCACAGGGTCACGCGGGTTTCAATCTTTCATCTCCCTCGTACGCTGTGCTTCTTCCGAAATGTTGCATTTGGCCCAGACAAGCGGTCGATCATGTCATAAAAGCGTCTCATGTATCGTCCATACGGACCTTGAAGTTCTGTGTGCAGCCAAAGAAGACACTCCCGTCGTCGGAAAACTAACCCGAGCAGGCTCGGGAGCCATGGTGGATTATCTTGTCGGCAGCGTTGGAGTTGGGTACTTGATCTTGGCCAGATTTTCTCAGAGATATTGATCTCGACGAATTCGACGTCCTCGGAGATTGTTCTGCCGTCCGTCTCACAGTGGGTCGTGCCTCGAATCCCAGACGTCTCCCTCCATAGTTTACAAGATATGCGCTGACTAAATGGGAAAAATGTTCGCTGTGAGGCCAGGGAAGAATTCGAAAAGCCCCTCCCGGCCCACGCTGTCTCTCAGCTTTCGTGTCCGAAAATGCTCTCAAAGGGCTAGAGCCACTTCGGACATCGTCGGGCTCGTCTTTTCAGCACAGATCTTGGGCTGAAACGTGCGTCGACAAGTGAGAGTTGTCGAGTCGGTCGGTCACTTTCGCCGCCGCCCTCGAGTGGTACGTGGCACCGGGGAAGACGCGCACCAACGCTACCGTCGCGCTCCTTTCAGCAACCGAAACAGTAGACGAATTCTCAAGGCAATCAACCCGAGTCTTTTATGTTTTGCGGGTGTGTGGTTGTGTAGGTGTCTGTGTAGGTGCCTGATCGTGTAGGTGTGTGATCCCGCAGGCGTCTTTGTGCCTGTAGGTATCTGTGTGTGTAGGATATTGGTTCCAGAAGGGTATGAGGTTGCCTCCAAGCGATATGTAGCTATCAGAGGAGGGCCGGGAGGAGGTATCGAATCGAATCGAATCGAATTGGCCGTATCTGCAAATGGCACCGGATAGATAGATAGGGTCGTATGCCGCCCGCAGTTGGTTGTCTAGCCGGACGTAGGCCATGGCACAATCACACACCCGTAGACGGACCGGTTAAGGAGGCCAAACGCAAGCATCAGGTTCATCGTCGGGCACCATGACCCCAAGAAAGAGGCCCTTGCCTGTCTCGACGGACACCATACAAGATGCACATGCTGCAAATGTGAGAGCACTATCGTTTCACAGCACCCGTACCGCTCCGTAGTTCGACAGTGGTCTCTTCATCATTCATTGCTTCCAAGAACACCGTCGAACGGCGTCTTGAGTCGTCCAGATAGATATTCGTCCATGATTTCAAGCCATGAAGATGGGAAGATGAGAGATCCCACGATGACGGCGATCAGTGAGAGGATGGTGATCAGTGAGAGGATGGGATAACTCCGGCAGGGTAAGCGAGGCTCAAAATCCTGTTCGGTGACAAGTCCAGATCTTCGTCTTTGTGTAAAGTCCAATCACTCGCCTGACGCTGCCTGTTCCCTGGCACAAGCAGCGAGCGACCCCCAGCTTGCCTGCGCCCCGTGCCCTTGCGATACCTGATCAAGGGTCGAAGCGGCAGGGATTGTCCGAAAGAAAGGGGAGAAAGGGTAGGAAGGACGATAGGTGCCGGGGAGGGGGTAGTGTGGCTGTGGTTACGTCGGTGGATGCATCAGATACCGACGATATCAAGCTCCTGATCCTCAGGTCCGTCGGGCTGGAACTGTTAGGGTCGGTCGACATGCGCTGGACATCCGTAGGTTTGACGGGAATCAAAGCCTTGGTCTTGCGAGGAGATTACCCACGCCAGGACTGCCGTTAAAGCTCAGTTTTTCGGACCACGAAAAGCGATTTAGCGGTCGGGATGACCCTGCTCTCCTGGACTTGCCAGCACCGTTGGGGCCGATGACTGCAATACGAGAGCCAAGAGATACCTGGAACGTGATGTCTTGAATCTGAGGCTTGTCGGTGCCAGGATATTGGAATGCCATTTTGTTGACACGGATGATGATGGCCTTGGCCTTGGTCTTGACACCTAGCTGAGTGATGGGGATTCACGTCTTGAAGGCGCAAACAAGACGATGTCGACGTCGGTCGGAGCCGATCGTCGGCGACGGCGATATCAACGCGGAGAGTGGTGCTGCTGCTGCTGCTGCTGCTGCAAGGGCGGCGTTGAGCGTTGCCGCCTCCCACGACGATTCAGACCTTGAAGTAAAGTAGCATTGTTGTTCAGCTAGCTTTCTCTTGAATCGCCGCCATTAGGAGACGCGGCTATCGTGGAATAAGGCCTTACCTTGTCACGACCAGGATAAAAAAAGCCACTCATCAACGACGTATGTGGGCGCCACACAGCCAGATTTGACCAGCTCTCGGCGTCTCGGTCGGACGTCCAACTGCACACGTCGGGGTAAAGAAAAAAGGAAAAAGAACGCTCTGCGTGAGGAGCACCGAACCAAGTTTTGAAATGTTCATGCGCATGTGGGGGTGTATCGTCCAGTGGTTTGTGCCCTCGTCGACCACAGCGACAGCGGCGACGGAAGCCTAATCTCCTGGGATTCATTCCGTGATGGAACCGCAACAACATCCCCAGGTGCGCACGGCTGTCTCTCTAAGATCGATGTCAACCCCAGAGGCATTGGCAATGATGTGGTTTGGGATGAGATGGATTTCCTCACTTGAAACCATTCTTCTCTGCCCAAAGAGGGGAGACTGCCCCTGTTGTTTGATCTTTCTTATCCTCTGCCTGACCACCCACCATCGCCGGTGTCGCTCCTTATATTGGGGAAAGCATGGACATCGGGTCACCACCATCTTGTGCCCTCAGTTTTACCCTCCTACCTCATGGCCAGATATACCTGATCGCTGATCGCCGATAGCCCGACAGTCCGCCCGCCAGTGGTGGTGACATGGGCTACGGCGAGCCTTGCTTGTTTTCTGGCATCAAGTCTCTGCTCGTCTCTCGATGACTCGTCGGACACAGCGTCCTTGACAGACATCTGATATCTGTGGATTTGTGACGGCGAGGTGGGCGGAAGCCCGTTGAAGGAGGTCAACGGCGACACGACCCGAAGCGACGACTCTCGGAGATGACGCGGGTTCTTATTTTGGCCCCTTTTCGCCAGGTCGATTGTGGCAGCGATGGCGTTCTCGAGTTCCTCGAACAGAGAGTCACGGTCGGTGTGACTCTTCTCCAGGGAGAAGCAGCTCGGTCAACGAGCCCCTAAAAAGGGCGAGTAACGACTGCCACGTTTCTCGTTCGAGGTCAGATCCCTTCTGAAGACTCAACCCGAGTCTCTGTTCGCCCCAAGCCCACCTCGTTGCTTGCTGGCCTCGTCATGTGTGAACAGGAACAGAGATAGAAAACACAGATATGTATCACGCACGGCACATGTACGTCCTGGCCAAGAAGAATGGGAGATGGCTCGGGCGACGCTCAAACATTTCCAGGACTCGGGATTTGCCGGGCTGTCAGGTAGCCTCATTCCACAACTCCACAAGCAAAAGAGTGGGAAGAATCATGGAATCGTTCTGGCCTCGTCGCCCGGCAGGCCAGCAAAGACGCCTCAGAGCAAGCAGCAGCATCGGTGATGGGCCGAATCTCTCGCAGTTGCAGTAATGTTTCGCATACAAATCTGAAATTGGTGCTCTGGAAGCGCTCCGAAGCTTTGGCCCTTTGCTTTCATATCCACCAAGAAGGATGCGAGTGCGAGCAGCAGCGTCGCCGTCGTCTGCACCTTGAGCGTTGGACTGCGTTGGACTTGCGTAAGGGTAGATGTGTACCATGCGCCTTGAGCTGTGAGGGCTTGGTGGACTGGAAGACGATGAGCTCTGGTTGACGGATCCTATCCACTTGTCGCACAGTAGGGCAGGTGTCACCTTCAAGTCCTCTCAAACACCCGAAGCTCGAGCACAGGAGCGGGCAGCCTCCAAAGACAAAGGCCGGGTCTCTCTGCCAGCCGAATCTCGACCCAAGGGCCTGTCATTCGGTGCCTTCGCTGCCTTGAAGGCCAAAAATGCCAGGCCTTCAAATTTTGGACTAGTTGACCCAGGAGAGCTCGACCAGTTGACCCGAGGCAAGTCGAGGTGGACCAGTTGACCTACGGTTGGCCTGCCTTTGACCAGTTGACCATGAACCGGTCGACGTCGACGCTTCTGGCAACAACAAGGAGCCAACGTTGCTCTTATCGACGACCTTCACAAGCCCCAGCATGTCTTGGAAGAGGTGCAAAGAGCTTGGCGGAATAAGGGCTTGCGTATTCCCGTGCAGATATCCAAGACGGCGAAGCCCTCGAAGCGATCATGAAAGGAAGCCGTGCAGCATTTTGGGGGGCATTCATGGGCGGGCCAACATGGCGGGCATTCTGGGTACCCAGGGCATCAAGGGTACCGATTGTGCGGTCGAACGGGTGCCTGGCGATGAATGGGATCTGATCTTGGGCATCAATTTGGACGGTTCAGGCGTCGATATCCACGGATGTAAAGTACAGCACTCGGTCCGGCTCCGGGTCGAACTGGTACGCCCTCCACCCTGGTCCTCTCGCCGCGCCTGTAACGGTTGAACACGAGAGCGAGAGAATGCCCGACCGTTGTATCAGGGTCACCAAGTGAGAAGACAGGGGGATGACCGACCGACTTGTTACCAAGATGGCGACGCGTTGCGGCGGTGCTGACATGGTGGCACAAGGCGAGTAGTATTCTTGGAAAGAGGGGGCGCGCCTTCGGCGATTGATGTAATAGTATTCATCGTGGCAGCGCCCACTCCCTTGAGAGAAAGGTGCACGTTCGGTCTTGATTGCGTTCATCACGAGGAGAAGGAGACGGTGTCTCGCGACATGCAAGGGGCTACTGCCGACCAACGGCCCTGTTTCCAAAGCGGTCTCCTTCACCACGAGCCTCAAAGGTCGCAGGGTGGAACACGCTGCGGTTGTTCCAGATAGCTGGCCCATGGTCAGATGCGCGTTTCCAATAGGGGCCATGATCACTCACCGATGTCGTTGGAATTCTCCCATTTGAACCGGACCTGAAGGTCGTGGTTCTTGTAGACGAGGCTCGCTAAGACTGTGTCGAGTATCACATCCGCCTCGACCGGGACCGAAGTGCTCTCCCAGGCCTAGCACCTGGAGGGCAAAAAATGGCGCCATAGCCTAGCCATCAGGCGTCCCTGGGCGTTCGTGCACAGGTCACTGGCTTCGGCAGGGTCGTATAAGGGCGTGTAGCCGTCGTAGAGAACGAGCGGATGGTGGGCGGTGATCATGATCACGCAACGACACGGTCACGGCTGAGCGCGCCGACCGTATGCCATGGCTTCCCTCGCCCTGTCGACCTCGAGGTGAGCCCGTTTCCCTGCTGTCGATCAATGCGAGTGGTGCGCTTGACAGGGCAGTAGAGCGTCAAGTGAGCCTCTGCCAGTCTCCCACAGCAACCCAGCCCCGTAGAAGTAGTATTGGGTAGCGACATAACGCTCCCCTAGCCCGCGTGTGAAACCTAATGGCTCCAGAAGCCACGGGACCGCCACCAACTTCGGGCTTCATTCTTTGAAAGAGATATCAGTTACACGGACCCAAAAACTCCGCAATGTATGCCGGGAGGATGGCCGAGGTCAATATTTCCCCAGTCTCTTTCTTTTCTTCAACGGCTCCGCGACTCGAGCCTGATATCTCGGCGTAATGTGCGTCGTGACTCGAGGATGGAGACGAGTCATTTCCGCCTCGTCGAAAAAAACCGATCGCCGGAAGTGAATTGGGTGACCTCGACACGATCTTCTGTGGCCACGCTCATGGCCACATCGTACGCGGGTGACGATAGTGGTGGTTGTTGGATTGCTTTTCATTGCAGCGGGGGGCGCAGGCGCAGGCGGAGGTGGAGGCGAGAAGATGCACTCAGTGGGTTTGGGGATGAAAAGAGTCAATACCCGGAAAGGTCCTTGTCAATCGACCTGGTAGGGGAAAGGATTTGGTTTTTTGGCTAGCGAGGTCCTTTCGTGTCAGCAGGCTTGGACAAGCTGCTGTATTATTCCTCCTCGTGGAATGCCAGGATAGATGGTCCCAAGATGACCTTTCAGGGGGCCGGAAGGGGGGAATTGGTCGTTGGGAGAGATGGGAACAAGGTTTGCATTTGAAAGACGAGGGTAGGGAATACGCGGCATGGGCAGCAGGCAACCAGCCAGAGGGTAATTGACACAAGGGCACATGGCCGCATGCATGAGGACGAGCTTCAGTCTCGACCTTTTGGCGCGGAGTCTCGTCGGTGGGCTCGAGGAAACAAAGAAGTCCCTTGACACAAAGGAATAGGGATGGATATCAATTGGGTTGGTAGATAACTGGCCTGTAGCTGGCTCTGGTACTGGCAACAAATCGACCAGCTCGGTGTCGTCGTCGGCCTCGGTCAAGTAATTCTGCCCTTCTGCGTTTGTTCGGTCCCAACTTACGCAGGGCTCCGTTGGCCCAGAGCCCCCAGTGCTGTGTCGTCAGGATGCTGACGGTTGACGTCGGCCCATCCTCCGGGGGCGGGGTGACGACGATGACTGGTAGCTCTCTGGCTTCCCGTCGTTCTGAACAAGCTTGGTGGTAGATTGGTGTGATTGCTGAATGGGGAATCGATCGCCAGCCTCGTTTCAGGTATTGAGGTTCGTGTAGCGTGTAGCGTGTAGCAGGTCCCAGGTCGCAGGTCGCAGGACGCAGGCAAATTTACCGCCGCTCTTCAAGGGGATTCTCCCTGCGATAGTGAAAGCCCAGCCACCCATAAATTGTGTTGATTGTGAGCTTCCACGACACTTTGTGGTCCGTGCACCTCCTCTTGCATTAGCGCCCCTTGGCAAGTCCTTGACTTTCTCTTCAGCTCTGACTTTGGTTCTTTCTTGTTTCGGTCAACGTTCACCTTCAACTCTCCTCGGCAGGTCTCAAACTTCGACATTGCCCCTCCAAAAAAAAGCGCCCCTGAGGTTACCGAAGCAAGACGCAGCAACCGCGGCAGAACTGCATGAGCCCGGGGTGTTTGTCGAGGCTAATTGTAGCCGTGTGGTGAGAGTGACCTAGCGATAGGGATTATTCGTGTATACTTGCTCTGTGGAGTCTTTTCGTCCAAATGAGCTGCCTGACCGGTATTCCATTGAGCTGAGAAGCACAACCATTGCCAGAAGCGAAGAACATGGAGCCCTTGTGATGTAGCACCTCCCATCCCAGCTCTTAAGTGTCTTTATTCCCGTACAAGATGCCTAGCCGACTTGAAGGTAAGGTGAGTGGGTTCTTCGCTCGACGCTTCCAAGATTCGTCCCCTTGTCGATAGCACTGCGTTTTCTTGACAAACGTGAACCAAGTGTTGCACGGCACTCAATGCATTGAGCCGTCTCCCGGTTTCCTCGCTTTTCTCTTCAGCGTTCTCTAGGCGGGCCGTGGTTGGCAACGGCCAGAACAAGTTTTGTGACATTCCGGTCGAGGATCGGAGGCATTCGCGTAGGTTCATAGGAGGCATTCGGGGAAGCCAGAATAAATCAGGCTGGCCGCTGGGGTGACTTTCCAGCCAGGTCCGGAGGGAGGAAGAATGGGGCAGCATAGAGTGCTATTGACTGTATCGCTCACGCGTCGAGATGTACGCAGAGAATAGAGCCCTCGGGGGCAACAGAGGTCGCAGGCTCGAAGGTAGAGAGGGCAGAGCTGACCGAGCGAATTTATCGTAAAGGGAAACTGATTTGGGAATGGCCGGCGGCGTGTGGTGGAGGAGGCTGGTGCTCGTAGAAATGTCATTTGGAAGTCACATTCTCAGGCAGACGGCAAACACGACGACCTCTCTCGCGTCGCTTTTTGCCTTATTTTCCGTGTCGTGTGTCGTGGAGTCAGGAGCTCGATCAGCCATAGCCATTGTCAGGTGGTTCTCGTGTCAGATGCGGAGCGCAGCAAAGGGAAAGGAAAGTTCGGAGCTTACGGAGATAATACTGAAATGGGAGAGTCTCCAGGCTGCGATGGGATGGGTGGGATTTGTCTGTGTAATGTGCGGAAATGACAACTCTTGGCCACTGAATTGGTTGGATTTTGGACACCACAATAGTTGGCTGGCCAATCACGCGGTTTGGAAAACCACGTGAATTTTTTTTGTCGGTTCACGAATATCCCGATCAGGAAGGCCAAGGGTTCCGCACGTCTGTCCATGCCAGAAACGAGACTGTTTTCCACTAGGTCTGAGATTCCTTTTCTCTTTAATCCTCCAATAGGATCTATCCATTCAGGGAGTTTCTAATCACTCGAGGACAAGTATGAAAAAAAAAGGGAAATAGGAGACAGTGATCAATCAAGTTATGAATACATCTGATCAGGACTTTCTGTGCTGTTTTGTCGTTGCTGTGCGGTAGCCGTTACCCCCCAGGGAACCGATATACTTGTGATCCTTGACTCAATCATTCCTCAACTCAATGTCGCCTTCACCACTGCCATGAACCCTCGAATTGCCATCGTTACTGGTGGCTCATCTGGCATCGGCGCAGCCCTCACCATGCCCACCACCGTACGAGCTGATGCTTCTGGCTAAGAGAGCGCCTCGTCCCAGTTCAATACCATACCCAAGCTCGCGTTACTCACTCATGACCCATTATCTCGCTCCCGAAGGATGGTCGGCCTCTTGTGTTTGTATGTTTGTCTTCCTCTTAACAGCGGTTCATGCAATTCTGGTCCAAGAAGCTGCGCAGGTCCGCGTTCAACTCTCTCAAGTAGTTCCTTTTCTCTTTCCCCTGATAGAAACGCGTTCTGGTGAGGTAGATCGATTCGTAGTCGAGAGGTTGGATATCAGGGGAGCCTTGGTTAGCCTCGCGGTCGGTAACGTTGCTGTAGGGGTAGAGGGGGTGCTGGTGCTGTGGTGGTGCGCATCAAGTGCCGCAGGATGCGATCAGAGGCAGACCGAGGTCTTGAACGATCTTCGAAGGTGAAGAGATATCGAAAGGTAAAGGGACATCGACAGGTGAAGCCGATGGATGGTATTGAACGCGTAGCGACGCGTAAATCCCTGCGGGACACAAAGAAAAGACTGAAAGTGATCGAAAAAGACGAAGAACGTGTCGAAAACACGTCGGATGGCGATGGCCATGTCATTGCGGTGGGAGCCTGCAACGTCTGGTCTTTTCCTGCGTTCGACCATGCCGTAGACTGATTTATATTGCAGAAAAAGCTTGTGAACGCGAAAATTCGCGGGCCTCACAGACCCTTTTGCGTTTTAGTAAAGACCTCTCTCTCTCTCCCCCTGCGGAACAGGCCTCTGGCCACACTAGCCTTCCAAACGCTCGGCGAATCCAACCGCTTTCGTTATCATCGATTTGTTGGACGCCACGATAGATTGAGAATGTGATTCAAGTGCCAGCCAGACCAGTATGCTTTACCCTGGCCGACTCTGTCTTGTACTCTCCCGTACTGTCCTGCCTTGTCTGACTTTGTGTTCGAAGGGGTTGAGCTGGTATTTGGCTTCTCCTTCAGACTGTTGAAGGAGGGGGGCAAAAGTACTGTAACACCACCGCAGCGAGAGGAGAGAGCGAGGATGGTGTAGACTGGCCTTTCCTTTACTGACATTGTTGACCTCCACCGAGCCAGGCTTTGGAAAAGCCCGATTCAGAGCTTCTGGAGCCGCACGGTTGGGTTGGCGTTGTGCGCAAGAAGCCCTACTCGAGACTATGGCCTTCATGGCCCTGTCAAAGGCACAGCGTTCTGTTCGCTCGCGATTCTGTCATCGACTGGACGCTGGAGGATTGGAAAGAACGTGATCAAGAGCGACAGGACCTCTGTTGTTCTAGGACACTGCTATCCCTGGTGCGGTTGTCTCCACCGCCAGTTGAACTGGTGAGCTTTTTCCGTTGCCTGCGACGTCATAATGTCCTGACACCCACGCATTCCCGCCGACAAGAAGCCAAAACGTATGGTCTTGACACGCAAATTGTGGACAAAAAACAAAACAGTCGGCCATCCCTTCGGCCATCCCTTCGGAGAAGTTCCTGATGTGT